GCAGCAGCACACAAAACCACGCACTCTCTGCTCCACAGAAAAACCTCTCTCCACGGAACTAGTCCCTGGTGCCCAAAAGGTTGGGGACCTCTGATCTAAGGCCAACCCAGCCCAGACAGGACTGTTCTAGAGCAGACATTTGAGCCACATGCTATCAAGGATGTGCTCAGAAGAGTTGCTTGATCCATGCACAGGATGTATAAGGCTTTGCTTCTTCAACATTCTGCATTTGCTGATATTGAAGCTGGAACGGCTGGCTTTGCTTACATGCCCAACACTCAAACTCTTAGAAGACGGGCAGGAAGCAGCAGGCCTGAGTCAGTGAAAGATGCCGTTGCTGGTGACTCAGGAAAAAAAGTTTCCAGGTCTCCTAGTGACTCAGAGCCAACATGGAGCCCTTCTTGCTGGCAACCTGTTGGGGAATCCAAAACAAGGAGTCGTGCTGGCTGGGGAATTCATGTCATACCTGGAACAGGTGGGAGGGAGGAAGAGGAGAGGGGGAAGTCCCTTCTAGTCTATCTAGTTCTGCTCACAGTTTCACTTGGATGCCAGTCCTTTCCTTAAAGCCATCTTCATCACGGCTGCACAATCTTTCAGAAGGGAATGTTGCAGAGGGGAAGAGTTCCTGGCTGGCTGGCTACAAATGTGACCCCACCCAGCTGTGTGGCTGAATGAAAACTCCGGGCATTTGTCCTGGAGGCTGCTGGGCATTGCAGTGAGGCAGCATGGGGAAGGGGAATCAGAGCTTCCCACCACTTTCCATCAAAGAAAATGCATATAGATATATATTTGCTCTATCATAAATGATGGAGGATGGAGGCCTTCATTTATAGGTGGTGGCTGATCAAGACAGGAAGCAAAAACTTTCTGACATGCAGCATGCTGGGACTTTCCATCTGCACTGACCGTGGCAGAATCACACCCAGGGAACATTCACTCTTCTCCTTAAACCCCTGATGGGCCTTCATCTCACCCCCAGCTTACGATGAGATGGGTTGAAGTTGAAGTTGTCCTGAGCTGGGCTCTGGTCTTGAACCTCCCTCCCCTTATTTTTTTTCTTTTTTTCTTTTTCTTTTTCTTTCCTGCCTGTCCCTCCCTCCCTCCCTCCCTCCTTCCTTCCTCTCTCATTCCCATCTCCTTCCTTCCTTCCCCATCTCCTTCCTTCCTCTCTCTCATTCCCATCTCCCTCCCTCCCTCCCTTCCTCCCTCCCTCCCTNCTTCCTTCCTTCCTTCCTTCCTTCCTTCCTTCCTTCCTTCCTTCCTTCCTTCCTTCCTTCCTTTCCCATCTCCTTCCTTCCTCTCTCTCATCCTCATCTCCCTCCCTCCCTCCCTCCTAGAGAAAAAGGGGCCCAGCCAGCGCTCCTTACCAGTCTGGAGTTGTAGAGGGGTGACTTCATGGGGGAAGGCATTGGACAGCTGATCCGTTTTTCCTTTTGCCTTCGGTTGCAGAACCAGACTCGGACCACTTCTTTTTCCATGGCCAGCTGTTCCGCAATCAGGGAGATTTCCTCCGAGCTGGGCTTGGGGTTCTGCTGAGAGAAAGTCAACAATAAGAATGGATGGAAGGATGGAGCGGAGCTACCTTCCCCGTTCTGTAAGCTTCGGTGCTAAGGAGATTAAGAAAGGAAGGCGTCGAGTCCAATTTCTAGGGTCCTTTGCCTGCCCGTTTTACAGAAGCAACTTTCAGTTGAGCCAGACGGAAAAAGGAAAGCAGGATTGTCTCTCCTCTATCTCCAAGCATCTCCTCTGGCAACTCACTGCTTCTTCTTTGGGCTGGAAACCGTCCTGAGTTTAAAAGAGGGCCAGACTTCTCCCTGCTGGCCCATTTCCTACATACTGGCTTGCTTTTTTCTGTGGTGTCTTTCTCCTTATCCTTGCTGGCCAACATGCTGCCAACAATGGTCAACCTTCATTCAGCTCTGAGCATCCCTACCAGGACCTCTGCTTATTTCCCCTCAAGGACAGCCATGCTTACGTCCTGGAACCGTTTCTCCAGCGTGGAGCGAATGTTGGTCTCAATGCTGGTTCGTTTCTTTCTCTTGCGTCCAAACATCTCGCTCACAGAGGGGTAGGAAGTGGGGCTGCTGACGGACGAGTCCAAGGGGGAGGATTCTGTGGAGGGGGGGAGAAGAGGCAAGCCAATTTTTTTTTGTTGTCATTGTAATTCACTTTGTCTAACTAAGAGTCCCTTCATTCCCTCTGAATGTTACAAAGGGCAGATCTGAGTCTGTCGTTGTGTTTTTCTGGACTGTTCAACGTGACATTTCAGCAAGAGTCCTAAAGATTACGAAAGTTGGCATATTCTACGATTCTCAGGTTGCGCATCCCCACATTCCTCTATTTTGCCTGTGTTTGGGGAGTTCAAAACACTCTGCTGACCCCCAGTGGCTCAATGTGCTCATCACAGTCACACAGCCCAGTTTGGCTTAAGCACATCTGCAAACCTTTCATCGCCCATTTAAGTGCCTTGAATGTGCATGGGTTCTTAAGGTAGTTCTGTAGGGCATTGAAAGGGTGCTTCCCTCCTTCCGACCCACCCCCCAAAATAATGGAAAATATCCAATGAGCAAAGAGATAGAAATGGAAGAAGTCAAGGGAGGAAAAAAAAGAGAGGGGGGTGCAATAGAGTATCAACTTCAAACCTCAAGTTTTTGCTTTTACAAAATAATATCAACTAGCCATTTCGATAACATTAAATCTATCTAATTGGTAAAGCCCACAATCAAAATTTCATCCCCCCCCACCTTAAGCATGCTTCTCTACTCCCTTTTCCCTTCCTCATCTTTCCCGCTATTTACTTTGTATTTCGATTGTATCATATATTATAAACTAACAAAACTTTGAAAAAGAAATGGAAGAAGGCAAAACATTTTTTTTCTTTTAAACATCCTGTAATCCCTTGCGTTGGAGCGGCGTTGGGGGCAACTGAATAGAGCTGAGCATTTGCTGGCCAGATGCCCTTCCTGACACCTATAGAGAGCTCATAGCAAATATATTCTCTTTGTGCCCAGAGAGAAAAATTATCTGCCACTACCTAGGATTGAACTCTAGGCCGCCACGCTGCTCTGAAGAAGGCAGAACTTTATTGAGCCCCTTAAATATATAAATATATATAAATATAATCATACCTGCGTCACTCAGCCATTTCTCCAGGAGTGGTTTTAGCTTGCACATGTTCTTGAAGCTCAGGTTGAGAGCTTCAAAGCGAGAAATGGTGGTCTGGCTGAAGTCATTTCCATAGAGTTTCCCCATAGCCAGACCCACATCGCCCTACAGAGAGGAAAAGGTGTCAGAAAATGGACCAAAGCACCTGGGAGAGTGAGATCCTGATGTTATTGGCTGAACATTGCATAGGATTCTTCTCTTATCATGTTCCTTTTGCGGGAGCATCGTCTTAAATCCAGGGCCATCTTCTTTTTGAGTACATTAAATATTAGTTATACCGTAACATATCATTGTGATAGAATGATGTAACAGGGTTAATTACGATCTGCTAATTATACTCGCTATTATAGTACTGTAAAGCCACAGACTATCTTTGTAAGGAGCATGTGGGTACAAATTAGAAAAATAACTAAATAGGGGGAAAACTAATCAGAATTAACAGATTATGTATTTGTTGTAAAAAAAAAGTTCTTCATTGATTAAGCCTCAGGTCATTTACAAGAACAAGGAAAGGAAGAAAGAAAAAGAGGAAGGAAGAAGGAAAGAAATGGAGGGAGGGAGGGAAGAAGGAAGGAAGACGCAAGAAGTAAGGAAGGAAAAGAATGGAGAGAAAGAAGGAAGGAAGGAGAGAAGGAGAGAAGGAAGGAAAGAAGGAAGAAGAAAGGAAAAGAAAGGAAAGAAGGAAGGAAGTGAGGGAGGGGGCAGGGAGGGAGGAAGGAAGGAAGGAAGGAAACATATGTGCAGGACTCAATTCAAGGAGAGTCAAAGGCTTGGGTCAGGGGCGTCTCCAGAGAAGGTCCAAAAAATCAAGATGGCGGGCACGCCTCTGTGACTTAAACTTTGGCCCTTTTTTCCATGCCCTGCACATGTGTCCTTTCCTGCTATTTCACTTTTTCCTCTTAGCACAGATCTGAGCAGAAAGGCCTTTTCCTCTAAGCAAAGGTATGTGAATTGTCCAGGTGAGACCCCTCTCACCTGCGTAAACCCCAGTTTGATGCGCCTCTGCTTAAAAGTCTTGGCAAATTTTTCCAGCTCTTCCAAATCATTGGCTTCATCTGTTGCCATGGAGGACGACAAGTGTTTGGCCACTTGTAAGTGTTGAGGGGCCTCCAGGTGAGGCTCCAACGATGACCCAGGGTGTCCAGGACGTCCCATGGCCTGTTAAAATACAATCCGTTGTGGAATTGTCATTGCACTGCAGCTGCAACTCATCCTTCTCCAACCTTTGACAACCTATTCCAGAATTCCCAGCCACATGGGTCCAGACCAGTGGTGGGATTCAGCCGGTTCGCACCAGTTCAGTAGAACCGGTAGGTAAATTTTGCTGCATTCAGAGAACCGACTGGCTTCCAGAAATCCAGTCTAGGCCTCGGAGGCCTGGAGTGGGTCTCCCAAGCCTAGAGTGGCCTGCTGGAAATGCGTGGATGCCACTTCCAGAAGTCCGTTCTAGGCCTCGGAGGCCCAGGCCTGCATCGAATAAGAGAATCCGGTTGTTCAAAAACCACTGGTTCAGACACATCTGGAAGAGCACCCCGTTAGGAGAGCATCATGGGATCTACAGCGGCAGGCCAAACCACAGAGACCTTAAGCTTCTGATGCTCCCACAAACCAGCCACTTCTTTTCAGTCTCTCTTGTTCATGGATGGTGCCATCATGGACGTTCAGCAAGATTGAATCTCATTAGGATTAGGAAATCTATGGAGATTCTCAATCCTCCAGGTCATGGTTGCCCCAAAGGTACTTTTTTTCCCCAAAGACAACTTCCCTTCCTTGGTTTTTTTTTTCTTTGAAAGTGTTTTGCTTCTCATCCAAGAAGCTGAACCGAAGAAGATTCTTGGATGAGAAGCAAAACGTTTTCAAAGAGCACCCCCCCCCCCAAGAAAGTCCAGTTGCCTTTTGGAAAAAGCACCTTTGGGACAGGATTAAGAGGATGTCTATCAGGAAACCTCAGGTTAAGTAGGATAGACTGAGAAGCTGAAAATCATCCCAGCAAGAGTAAAGCTATTTCTGTAGTATTGGCAAGAAAAGTCCTTGAATGGGTCCCTATAGTTATCAGGCATCCAACTCAAGTTAAAGAAGACCTTCTTTTGAGTTCCATGATCTTAATCTTCTGGGGCATTTTAATGAGCTATTGTGCCCTGCAGACTTTTCAGAAGCAGAGGCAGACACCGAGACAGACAGAGAGAAAGAGTCAGAGACAATGCACTTAAAGTGTGAGCAGGAAACTGGTTGTGTCAACCTAGGCTTGGCAATAGGATTATGAATCCTGCAAGGTGAAAGATTTCATCACTGGCACTTTTTGTAGCATTGGGGGATGTGCTTATAGAACTTTGAACATTTGAAAATCCAAGGAGAAATATGGACCTCTTCAAAATATGGGCTGGAACTGCTGATTGGATTTGGCTTAGAAGAACTCAAAATAACAGAGTTGGAAGGATTTGGGGAAAAGATGGACTAGGGGTGACATGATAGCAGTATTCCAGGTGTAGGGTCTTCTGCTTGAGCAGGGAGTTGGACTAGAAGACGTCCAAGGTCCCTTCCAGCTCTATTCTGAATTTTTAAGTTAGAATTTAGGAAGGGACGGTGGAAGTCCTCTAGAGCAGGGGTCCTCAACCTTGGCAACTTTAAGACTTGTGGACTTCAACTGCCAGAATTCCTCAGCCAGCAAAGCTGGCTGAGGAATTCTGGGAGTTGAAGTCCACAAGTCTTAAAGTTGCCAAGGTTGAGGACCCCTGCTCTAGACCAACCCCTTGTTCAAGTAGAAGACCCTATTCCATTCCAGACAAGTGGCTGTCCAGTCTCTTCTTAAAAGCCTCCAGTGATGGAGCACCCACAGCTTCTGAAGGCAACTTCCGTTCCACTGGTGAATTGTTCTCACTGTCAGGAAATTCTTCCTTAATTCTAGCTCGGTTCTCAGTTGAACAGAATTTCAGCAAATGACAACCCTTATAATGACAACAGCAGCAAGTCAATGGATGGGACTTACCTGAGATGCTAAGCTGTGTCCATGCTGTGGGAGCAGAAGCCCACTTTGCTGCTGAGGAAAGGAGAGAAGGTTTGACTGGAGAGCTGAAAGAGATGGAGGAAAATTTTGGTCAGATACTTCGGCTCCACCAAGTCCAACCATATCCAGATGCAGATCATTGTCCCATATCCCCAATTTTAGAGTCTCAAAAGACACGCCCCCTCTTCTCCCCTTATTCCATTCCCTTGGTGACAAGGCGTCTCTAGCCTTCTCTTTCCCCAGTGCAACATTTCACAACTTGGTTAGTCATCTAGAGAAAGATGTTTGTGCAAATTAACCTCCCCTTCCCAGCTCACTAATACAAGTTGGAATTGCTCGAAATGAAAAGTAGAGTGATTCTGTGGGCCGGAAATGAAAGGGTCACAGCAGAGAGTCACTCTTGACTTCTGATTGTTGCATCCCATTGTTTTAAATTCAGAAGTAAAGTTTGTTATCTCTGACGGGCTTAATCTTAAGAAAATGACCTAGAATTATAGGTCGTCCTCCACTTACAACAATTCATTTAGGGACCATTAGAAATTGCCAGGGCACTGAAAAAGTGACTTACGACCGTTTTTCACACTTACAACCGTTGCAGCGTCCCCATGGTCACATGATCAAAATTTGGATGCTTGGCAACTGACTCGTATTTATGTCGATCGCAGTGTCCCAGGGTCACGTGATCCCCTTCCGACAAGCAAAGTCCATGGGGAAGCTAGATTCACTTTGCAATTGTATTGCTAGCTTAACAACTGCAGTGATTTACTTATTTTGGGCTCAATTGTGTAGCATCTACCCACCCCACAGGTTGCATTACAACTCCCATCACTCCCAGCCAGGTTGGAGCAAGTTCAGTCAAATGCCACCATCCCTGTCTCACAGGCACGTGGCTGTGACAATAAGACAATTTGCTGGAGGTGACTTGATGACAAAGATGAGGCAACAGCTCCTGAAGTCATCCATGCTTTGAATTGCCTGCCACCAAACAGACAAATTGGCAGGTGTCCTCCTTCTTCATGAGGCCTCTGTTAACACTGCGAATTGTTGCATGAGGTGAAAACAGGTTGGGTGTTTTTATTAAAAAAAAGGGCAGCACAGCAGAATCTTCAGCCACTGTATGAACTCTTCTGGTTGCACAACATGTGTGACAAGTCAGGACGGTGGTTGAAGACCCACATTTCAGCTGCGTTTTGGCTGGCACCCTCGTTCATACTTTTTCATCCATAATTTCTCAGCCTTTGGGGTATGATCAAGTGTAGTGTGTAATACTTTTTCACCCAACTCATCTCCTTCAGAATAACAGAAGAGTTGGAAGGGACCTTGGAGGTCTTCTAGTCCAACATCCTATTCAAGCAGGAGACCTAGACCATTTCAGACAAGTGGTTGTCCAGTTTCTTCTTAAAAACCTCCAGTATTGGGGCACCCACAACTTCTGCAGGCAAGTCGTTTCTACTGGTTAATTGTTCTCACTGTCAGGAAATTTCTTTTTAGTTATAGGTTGGTTCTCTCCTTGTTTAGTTTCCATCCGTTGCTTCTTGTCCTGCCTTCAGGTGCTTTGGAGAACGGGTTGACCCCCTTCTTCTTTGTGCCAGGAAATTTCTCCTTCGTTCCAGGTTGGTTCTCTCCTTGATTCTGCTCCTGCCTGTCACTGAAAACTGACTCACCGTGAATTACCTTTGGGTTTCTATTGCTGGCCTGTGTAATCCTGATCTTGCACCTCCTTCAGCAAAACCCTCACTTCGCTCCTGATGTCATGTCTCCAGGGGAAAGAAAACAAAACAGAACTGTTGAAACCACCACAGGGCAGGAACTGGTTCGAGTTTCATGCGCCTGGAAACTTGCAAATCAGGGGCACGCTTGTCAGCACAATTAGACTCACAAGTCCTGTGTGGCTCTGCAAAGGCTTGGCGACTGCTCCACTCCATTGTTTAATCATTTTACAACATTCGAGCCAGATAGGATCTAAATGAGCCAGACGTAAAAAATTAGCCCCATGGCTTTGCTTCCTAGTTGTAGGGTGGCTGGTTCAGCCTACTTCGGTAAGTCTCTTCCTGGGGGTGGGGTGGGGGGTGGGGAAGGTTTGGGCAGGAAAAGATGAGTGGCGATATCATCCATTTCCCCAAAGGAGAAGAGTGACAGGTGGCCATGGAAGCATGACTCTGTGGCTCCAGGCATCACAGGAGACTTGCTCTGAACTTTGACTCTGGAACCATTTGCTTTTAAAAAAAAAAAAAATTGGAGATATAAGGAAGCAGAAGAAACAACCGTGCTGAGCTGGCCATTCCAGGGCAGGGGAAATGAGCTCTTTGGTGGCCCAGCCAAATTTTTGGTCTTGGTGGGCTGGATTGCTGGTGATCTTGGATTCTGAAATGCCAGTTCTATTCATAATAAGACCATGTTCATCCCTAACCTGAGAGTGGATGAGCAAGTGCAGCGGTTGTGTGATCAAAATCTGGTTGGATAAGGGTGTAATGTTGTCCTCATGGAAATAAGGATTCCTAAGCTTGTGGTCCTTCAGGAGCCTTGAGATTAAGGGTGGGTAGAAAATGTCTACCTGGGACCAAGGGTTCTGCTGCTGAGGCAAGAGTTACAATAGTATGTGGAGGGGAATTTTGGAAGGGTGGGCGGAACAAGCTGGAGAACTTGCTGGTGTAGCTGTCTTGCTATCCAGGAGAATCCCTGAGAGGTCTGAACAAGAAGCTGCTAGCAACCATCACTGGAGCAGCCCCACTTTCTCCTCGCTATTGCCAGGAAGCTCCTGGAAGGACCAAAAGGCTTTAGAAACAGGAATTAAGCATTTCCTGGAGAAGGTTGCTCAGTTGTTGCCTGGAGAAATGATTGGACTCTTAGACCTCAGAGAAGGGAGAAGGAGCTGAAAGAAATAGTTCCTGACTACTTGAGGAACTGGTGGTATGACTCAGGACTACGGAACCGCATCTACACTGGGGTTTCTCAACCTTGACAACTCCAAGTTGCATGGACTTCAACTCTCAGACTTTAAGAAGTCCACACATCTTAAAGTGGCCAAGGCTGAGAAACACTGACCTACACAGACATTATAGAAATCAACCAACATCTAAAGATGTTCACCTTACCTTGCTGTCCTGCTGGGCTTTGAGAAAGCAGGAATAGTGGGACAGACTGCATAGGCCCTGGAACTTGCACAAGTTGCTGCAAAGTATGAAGAGAATTCACATTCTGAAGGAGAAGAAGACAGGTCAGATATACTAGGACACCCTTCCACAGCCAGCCCATCAATGGGCAACTGTCCCTCTTCTGCTTCAGATGCATCCTCCTGCTTTCTGCTTTCTCCTTTTTCTCTCTCCCAAATAACAACACCTTTGCAAATGTGTGGCCATTGTCAGCTTGCTCTTGGCTTGAGGAGCAACACTGGAAGCCCAGGTCATAGAGCCCTCATTGAATTAAGCCATTGTTTGTTTAACCAAGGTCTTTTTTGGAATAACCCCTTCCTCCCAATCCCCGACCAAGCCAGAAATCAGCGATGCTTTGCCCAAATGCCTTGGCTTATGTATTGGAGTGGCTCTCTCAAAAAGGCGTGGCCTAAACTGTGATTCTTAATGTGACATAAGGAGTGGAAATATTAAGGTATTATTAAGCATGACTGGAGAGTAATCATCTTTACTTGGTTTAATTTTAATTAAATTTAAATATAAATGAAAGCAGACCTAATTAGTTCTCTGGCCCCACCCTATTTGGGGGAGAGTGTCCTTTTATCACTCAAAGGCTAAATAAGTCCCTAGACCAGAAAAAGGTTGCCCATTCCTAGCATAAACCAGGATTCCCCTAGGACAGGCTTTACCCATTGCTCAAAAGCTAGGACACATTATAGTTTCTTTCATGTAGTACATGCAGTGGTATCCAGCCATATTGTGATATCCAGCCCCAATGGAAGATAGGACAACCATTTATCCAAGATGGTCTAAGGCAGGGATAGGCAACCTTGGCTCTTTTATGACTCGTGGACTTCAACTCCCAGAATTCCTGAGCCAGCATGGCTCAGCTTGGAAACTCTCCCTTTCCCCTCAGCATGGCTGGCTGAGGAATTCTGGGAGTTGAAGTCCACGAGTCATAAAAGAGCCAAGGTTGCCTACCCCTGGTCTAAGGACTCCTGACGTGGGCAGGGGGTTAGACTAGTTGACGTCTAAGATCCCTTCCAGTCCTATGATTGTAAGATTCTAGATGAGCAAGAGCTTTTGTAATCTACATCGTGAACCTCACTTACAAACTTTACAAATGCCAATAGCCTCATCTCCATAAATGTCCATGCTGAAAACCATGTCTTTCATCCATGAATTCAAGGA